GGGGGGCGGGGGGCGGAGCCGGGGACTGTGGGGAGTGCAGATGGTGAGGGGCTGGGGAGAGCGGGGGGCGGAGCCGGGGACTGTGGGGAGTGCAGATGGTGAGGGGCGTGCGGAGCCGGGGACTGTGGGGAGTACAGCGATGACAAGGTGCAGCTGGCCATGCAGACCTACGAGATGGTGAGGGGCGTGTGGAGAGCTGGGGGCGGGGAGCCGGGGACTGTGGGGAGTGCGGAGGGAGGGTGCGGGAGGGGCCATACGGAGGCCACAGGGAGCCCTGGCCAAGCAGACCGACAAGATGGTGGGGGGCGTGGGGAGGTGAGGTGAGGTGGGGGTGACAGGGTGCCTTGTTTCAGCAGAGCTGCGTTAATTGAAAATTCAGTCAAAAGATGGGACCCTTCCAGCTTGACTTTAGTACACCTGTGATTCCTGGGCTGGGCTGCTGTTACTTATTTATTTTGAATTTTTGTTATAAAACATAACAGAAACGTGTTACACATTTACGTATTGTAAGTGCATCACACACTGTAAGTGTGTGGCCTGCTGTGTGTTGACCATGTTTGCCGCCGTCACTGCTGCCCCTCCCCTCGTGTTCCGTCCTCCCACCCAGAAGCTCAGGGCCCTTCAGCTCCGACCCCAACTCCTCTCTCCCGGCGCCTCTGTGCTGTTCTAGAACTTTCCCCTGAAGCCCGTCCAGTGTTGGTGGTCTCTCCTCAGCACAGTGGGTCCATCCACGTTGTGGCCTCCTCCAGGGGTCGGGACATGTCTCTCTGTGGCTGTGTGGCTTCCTGCTGTTCCGTAGCGTGAGGCCCAGTGCCTTTCTGTGCAGGTGGACAAACACATCCGCAGGCTCGATGCAGACCTGGCGCGCTTTGAGGCCGACCTCAAGGACAAGATGGAGGGCAGCGACTTGGAGAGTTCTGGAGGACGAGGGTTAAAAAGCAAGTCTGTTGTTTGTCTCTGTGTCGTTACTGTGGACTTGTGAAGAAATTGTAGACTCTGGTAACCGCCATGCATGTGAATGCTGCTCCTGCTTTAGTGGCTAACGGCCTTTGTCCGGGTGCTTGTTTTTCAGAAGGTCGGGGCCAGAAAGAGAAAAGGGGTTCCCGGGGTCGAGGCAGGAGAGCATCTGAGGAGGACACCCCCAAGAAGAAAAAGCACAAAGGAGGGTAGGAGCCTTTCCTAAAAGGACGTCACCGTCAGACGGTCTGCTCCTGCCCTTGTTGCCCTCTCTTCCTTGTTGCCTTCCGGGGAGAGGGAGGGTAGTGTGGTTCAGATGGAAGACATCCTGACCTGTCTCTGGTCAGAGCAGGGCTTGGTGCCAGGCGTGGAATCACATTTCCGAGTAACCGTGCGCAAACCAGGAGCGAGTTTGTCAGTGATGGTAAAGCTTGCTGCCAGTTTGCTTTGTAGGCTGGAGTCAGTCACGGGTCATAGGATGGACTCGGGCTCCACAGTCGTGGGCCCTGGCGCTGGCCCAGCACCTCTGTGCTGCTCACGGGTCATAGGATGGACTCGGGCTCCATGGTCATGGGCCCTGGCCCGCAGCACCTTTGTGCTTCTCACAGGTCCGAGTTTGCCGACACCATCCTATCGGTGCATCCCTCAGACGTACTGGACATGCCCGTGGACCCAAATGAGCCCACCTACTGCCTGTGCCACCAGGTGTCCTATGGGGAGATGATTGGCTGTGACAACCCCGACGTGAGTGCCCCTGGGATGTGGGCCTCAGGCTCCTGGCACCCCGGCACACGTGGTGCTAACCGTTCTCTCTGCTTTTTGACCCACAGTGCCCCATCGAGTGGTTTCACTTTGCGTGCGTGGACCTCACCACGAAGCCCAAAGGGAAATGGTCAGTTTGGGCACTTGCTGCTCCCTCCCCCTCCTGCCCGCCGAGGCCGTGTGGTGTGGCCCCTGCTGCTCCGAGGCCCGGTGCAGCAGCCAGCGGTGCATGCAGCAGTCCGGGCTCGACGTGGCCAGTGAGCAGTGCTGCACCCCTTCCCATGTGGCCTCTGTACATTGGTGCCTTTGTTTCCAGCTCTCCCTGGCACTCAGTGGTCCTGGGTATAAGGGGTGTGGGGCGTGCTGCAGGGTGGGCCAGGACACGGGCGGGCCAGCAGCCCTACTGATGGCCGGGCAGAGACCAAGTGTGTGCCTTTCTCCTCGCAGGTTCTGTCCGCGGTGCGTTCAGGAAAAAAGGAAGAAGAAGTAGAGAGGCTGGAGGCCCGGGGTTGGAAGAGTGCACTCACGTTTCTCTCCATTCGTGTTCCAATGTTGTTCCTTCATCTGAAAACTGCCTTGTTCCGGCTGTTAGCTAATAACTCAGTGGCCAGTGGTCTCCTTGTTGTTTTGAAGCAAACGGGACACCCGAGCTCATTGGCATAGAGGAGCCTCTCCTGGGAACGTGCCACTGTGACTTTCCTGTTGTGGCTTCACCTGACTGCGTGGGCGCAGTCGCTGCAGTGGAGCACAGCAGCAAGGCCACCACCTGGCCCATTGCCACCACACTGTGATCACAGGGGTGAACCTATGAGGCTTGAGGGGTGCAGACAGCTTCTCTCCCCGTCACGTGCATGTGAGCAGTGTCCCTGTGGCCCAGCCCTCAGGGCAGCAACCACAGACTTGGCAGCAGTGTGCTCCGAGCAGGAACCCTTTCTGGTACCTGGCTCCTTGAGTGAGCAGGGTGAGGGGCGCTGGTCTCCGTGGCGGCCTCGTAGTAGCCCACAGCGTGCTTGTTGCTGGGCAGTCACTTCGACCGGGGAGCCTGTGGTGGCGCAATCTGTGTGTTTATGTGACACACGTCCCTGCTGAAGGCTCTTTCCCTGTTCCATCTCCCAGTGTCATTTTGGGGAAGGCGGGGGAGAGCCTGGTCCATCTGGCCCGTGCAGGTGTATGTGATGGGTTCCAGCTGGAGGGCAGTGACCGAGCATGCCAGGACACCCCATTGTGCTGCTCGCAGCATGAGAGGATGCCTGTCTCCCACCTGGAAGAGAGACTTGTGGGTGGGCCTGAGAGGGGGAGTCCCACGCGTGAAGAGTTGATTTCCTGTGGAAAGAACAGTAGGGCTGGATCCTTCTGGTGGCCCTGTTGACTCTTCTGATGTCTGCCAACAAGAAGGAGGGATGGAGCTGGGGTAGGGGGTACTGTGTCCTGGGAGGCACCTACTCCGTGGGGTGAGGGACTGTGTCAAGTGAGTAACCCCCCCAGGTGATCTGGCGTTGGGTGAGGGGCTATCTAGGTGAGAGTGCTGTAGCGTGAGGGGCTGCCTTGGGTTTGGGTGGTTTAGGTTGGTTCAGTCAGTACTTGGTGAGTGGGAATGGGGCCCCAGGGAACCGTCGTGCTGGCCTCACGGAAAGGATCTCGGGGCTCCTGGCCCATCGTCCTCTCGATGCCTGGCCTCCAAGAACCTAAGAGCAGGGCTCACGCTTATGTGACTGGTGGCCGTGGGCCGGCTCCAGGTGCCCCAGGTTCTGGGAGGTTCCAGGTAGGGTCAGTGGCTGCTGCAGCTTGTCCTGTAGGTCCCCCGTTGAAGGAGCCCCCAAGAACCAACCCAACTGCTCAGGGAGGGAGTGTGGCCACAGAACGGCAGATGTTGTGACTTAGTAGCATGGACTTGTGTTAACAGGTGTCAGAGGCTGGGGGTAAGTCATGGGGTGGGTTTCCTTCACGCTCACGCTGTTTGTGGGGAGGGATTGGTGAGGCAACACCTGGTGACTCTTGAGAAGCTGATCTTTGACTTGAGGTCACACCCCGCGTTTTCACTGCAAAGAGCTACGGTGGTGGGGCTTTCATGGCTGGGCCTCCGTGACCGTCGCGAGGCTTGGGGCTCTGCTTTCCAGGACGGGGGTCCTGATGGGTGGTCATGCTTGCCTGTCGTCGCGAGGCTTGGGGCTCTGCTTCCCGGGACGGACGAGCGCTGCTGGGCCTCTGTGGTGTTGCTCTGGCAGCGCCGGCACCCCCACGTGCAGCTCCCGTGCATACCTGTCCGTGGCTCTGTGCTTCTTTGTTCTTGGTGTTTACTTTGGTTAGTTACAATCGTGTCACCAAACACTCTGCGTGTAGCTTTGGAGAAAACAGAACCCGAGTGGAGTAGGACAGTTCCCTCAGATGTTCTTGGAATACAACCTCATGCCTGTTTGAGAGCTAACACTGTCAGAGTGGGAGTGGGAGGGAAGACGGCCTGGGGTGCAAGGCCTGGTCGCCTTGGGGCTGGATGGTGTAAGGTGGCGTCCTGGCTGGAGCCCCCTCTTACCCATTGTCTGAGTTGGCACTTGCCGGAGCCAGAGGGACGTCTGGGCTGGACCCAGGGAGACTTGCAGCACTGCCTGGGCTGAGGGTGCTGCCTCGTCCTTGGGGTCGCTGGTAAGGAACGTTTTTCCAGAGACGCCAAACCCTACCCCAAGTGCTCAGTGCCTCGGGTCAGAGCCAGCAGGGGGAGGAGCTGCACCTGTAGAGAAGACGCCACACTGAGCCCAGGTCCACGCCATCTGCTGGCATCACCAGGTGGGTTGGGGACTGGCGGTGGCTGAGCAGCTCGCACATGGTGTGGCCCGAGGCAGGTTTCTGGGTGGGTGGGGAAGACAGCTTTACCCTGGCTGCCCCAAAGGCCACAGTGCCCTCGGCCTCCTGAGCCCCTGTTCTCTCTGTGGGCCGCCTCAGCAGTAACGTATCCAGAGTGGCCCTGTGGGCACAGAGCCAGGAGCCTGCAGGGCTCAGTCAGCAGGGAAGCTATCGCGGGCACTGGAGAGGGTACTTTCCTGAATCCAGTGAACAGTGTCGTCTTCGTGACCAGTGCTGAGGGGGTCCGGGCAAAGTGTTCGCACGTGAGTGAGTTCTGCCCTCGTGTGTGTCTCGTGGCGTCAGCTTTACTCGTTTTGTCAGGAAAGGTACCGCAGCTTTAACGTGGATGCCCTGTTCTGTGTTTGAGGAACTATGATCTGTGTTCCCTTTGTAAATGAGAGACTATTGTAAATCTTTTTATTAAATAATGCAAAGATGTATATCTGTATTTTTGGATCACGTTATAGATTATGGATATATTGTTTAATAAATAAAGTATTTTTTGGAATGAGCGTCTGGGAGTGTCCCTGGGAGCTGCTGTAAATGCCTGTGTGGTGCTGGAGACGAGTGGCACATCTGACCCAAGGCTTGAGGGGGATGTGCAGCAGCGTGGGGGCCGCTGTGGGTGCCATCGCCCCTGTGAAGGTGAAGTCGTTCCTCTGACAGTGCCTTGAGAACTGGTAACCATTGGGGTCCAGAAACCTGACTCAAGTTGGAGGGATGGTGCGTTGGGGCCTCTGGCACGTGTCCGGGTGTGAATGAACCCAGACCCCCTGGTCCATGGGGGTGGGGAGGCGAGGGTCCTGAAGAGCCCCCCTGATGCTACCACCCCGAGGGACCACAGTGTGCTGGGGTGCCAGCTCTGGGTCGGGAAGGAGAGGCCTAGCTCTACAGGGTGTGTGTGTGTGCGTGTGCGTGTGTGTGCTCTTCCCACAGCTGTAGGTCGCCTGGTCCACAGATAAGGGCTTATGAGGATCAGGCGACCAATGGTGGGCCACTCATCCTCAAGTTTCCAGTTCCTAACATGTCACTGAACTGGACATACGTGACAACTCTGACTTATGGGGCAATGACCATGTAGGAAGGGCCACGTGGAAGTCTGGAGCCCACAGCAAGGTGCTTTCTTGGCTTGGAGGGTGCAGTCATCCAGCTGCGGGGTTGTTGCTGCAGCGTGTGGCACATGGCTGCCGAGCTGGGAAGTGCTGGGCTTCCCCCTGCACCGGCTTGCAGGGCCCCACAGAAGCCACGCTCACCAAAGCCAGCACTACACCCACACTCACTGTCTCGCCTCATGCTTGCGTTAACGCTTTTGCTCTTCACCATAATCCACTTCAGAGAGCTTCCTCGCAGGTTAATGCTATCCTAGTATCTGGATTAGTTTCCTAGGGCTGCCAGAACAAAATACCATGAAGTGGGCGGCTTTCTAGAATAGATGTTTATTGTTCTGGGACAGTTCTCAGGAGTCCAAAATCAGGGGGACCTGTCCCAGCCTCTCTATCAGCTCTGGTGGCTCCAGGTGGCTTCCTGGCTTGAAGCTGTGGTGTCATGATGTCACTCCTGTCTATGTGTCTCCTTTTTTGAGAACACACCACTTACATGCCACAACATGGAAGAACCTTGGGAACAGTCACCAAAGAACAAATCTTGCATGCTCCCACTTACATGAGCTAAGCAGATACACAGAAACCAAAGTTGATCTACCGAGGTGGGGAGGAGGAAAGGGAGGCTGTAGCTTAGTGGGCATTGAGTTTATGTTGATGGACTCTGGAAAGGTTCTCACGGGCGATTGCACGGCTTGAATGTGCGTGGGATGATTGACTGAATTAGACCCATGGAAACTGTTGAGTTAGCCTGTGCTTTGATGTTTACATGTTCACTACAATTAAAAAAGGATGACCCCCTCTCCAATGTGACCTCGTGTCAACTGAGAACATCTTCAAAGACCCTATTTCCAAACAAAGCCACCTTCACAGGTGTTGGGGGCTAGGACTTCAGCATTTTGGGGGATGCAGTTCAACCCCTAACATTCCACAGAAACCACTCCCATCCACTCACTGAATTTGTAATAGGACTGGAGGGGCAGGAACCCTCTCCTCAGACCAGGGACTGTCAATGAGAATTGGAGGGGCACGTTAGTCACTTGAAGAGTTTTGGGTAACTACTGGGCCGAGGCAAACAAGGTCACCCAGGTGATGGTTGCAGGAAGTGGGGGGAACCACATCAAGGCTGGGAGCTCAGAGGAGTAGCTGGGGAGGAGGCCCGAGCTGGGACTCAGCGCAGAGGAGAAGGCGCAGTCTCTGAGGTGGGGGTGTGGCTGGGAACCCAAGCCTCAGGCTCAATGGGGCTGGGACTTAGCTGAGGACAGACACTACTTCGGCCACCATGGCCGCTTCCCGGAGCTCCGAGGACGGACCAGGAGCTGGGAGTCAAGGCTCCGGGCTTCGCTGGCTCCCGAGGGGGTGTGATGCTGATTTGGGGTTCGGATCGCGCAGGAGCGAAGGACGGACGGGCGGGGAAGGCGTGGGCATCTCTCTCGCAGGGCCTGGCCGGAGACAGGCCGGAGCCCGGCCCAGGGGCGTGCGGACGGGCCGGAGGGGCCCGGTCCGAGGAGACCCTGGGGTCCTGGGCCGGAACTGACTCCTCCAAGTGAAG